GTTTTCCCCATTTGGTCCCCTCGGGAGGGTTTTTTTTTCTGCTTGGGAAACCGCTGCTCCCGGGGTTTCTCCCGGTCCCGGCCCTAGTGCTGGGGCCCCGGCAGCTGCAACACCCAGCAGGTATGTCCCAGAAGCCCTGATCCCCCCCCCCCCCCCCTTCGCGGTCCAAAAAAATTGCTTCTTTCGTGTCCGCTTTGCGTTGAAGAAGACGCGGGATATTAAAGAAGTCTGATGAAACCGTTGTCATCGTCGTTGTGGTAATTGCTGCTTTTTCTGGTGTGGTTTCCTGTCAGGTGGCGCTCCCTAGACCGGCGTTTGGCCGCGCGTTACCCCGCTGCCGCTGCCGCTGCTGCCGCAGCGGGTGGTTCGGCTGCTGGCAGCAGCAGAAGCAGCAGCAGCAGCAGCGGCAGAAGCAGCGGCGCTTCCACGCCGGCGGCTCCCGGCCGTCGCGCCGTGCCCGGCCCCGCCGGAACCGTCCGGACGCGGAACGGTTCCCGGAACGGTGCTCGAGAGACCGGTCCCCCGCCGAAGGGATCCGCAAACAGCAGCAGCGGTAGCAGTGGAGTCGCAGGCGCCGCGGCTGGGGGGCGTAGGGGGGAGACCGAAGGCCGGAGGGGGGACGGTGCGGCGGCGGGCGGGGGAAGCGAGGGAAGGGAGGAGTGGTACGCGATGACGCTGTTGTTTCTGAGGGGGCCGGTGATCCCCGGCACGTCTGGGCTGCGAGCAGGCGCGGTGAGTAACGTCCGTCTGGCGCGGAGAGGATCGCGCGTGCTGCTTTGAGAGAGGGTGTGCTTTGGGAGATGTGTGCTTCTATTGTGCGTGCTTGAGAGATGTGTGCTTGAGAGAGATGCATGGTTGAGAAACTTGTGCTTCCGTCGCGCGGTATAACCAGCACCCAAATGCACCACCTATGTGATAGTTACACGAAGTGTGCGCCCCAAGCCTTCGCCCCGCCTCTATCCCCGGGTTTCGAATCGAATCGAAGGCGTTGTTTTCGCTTGATACGCGCGTCTAGCCGCGGTTTCCTGTCGGCGGGCGTTTTCAAAGGACATAATTTGGATTTGACGGGGTGGGCCAAGGTGATACTGGGTCGTTCATCGCCAGCGTTGCCGCGTAAGAGTTCAGTAGTCAGTGGTCAGGGTAGAGGGAGTTGAAGATCGCCATTGCATGCAATGGGTGGATGATCGTCCGAGTGACCTGTTCTCCCCCCCCCCCTGCTTGGCGACGATCAACCCTGCCTCCTTCGCCTCAGGTGATCTGGCAAACCGTCCAGGGGCACTGCATCCTCGCCTTGACGCTGCTGCTGCTGCTGGCCCTCTACTCGGTCGTCCGGCTCCGCTTCGTGGTCCTGGCCCGACACCTCGAGGTCGCCGCCACCGCCGGCAACAACGGCGGCGTCGACAGCGGCTTGGCCACGGGAGGGAACGGCGTTCGCGGTCAGAGAGAGGTGAGAGAGAGTCGGCATGTGTTGGAGATGGGGAGAAGGCGATGGGAAGTGCAGTAGTCGGTGCTAGAGGATGAGGGATGAGGGTCGGCGTGTGCTGAAGCTTGGAGATGGGGGGTGGAGGGCGCGTCGGGTAGGCATCGTGCGAGAGGAAGAGAGGAAGAGAGGTGAATAGTCTGCAGCTGCTTCGTTTGGAGACCGGCGAGGGGTGGCTGGTGCAGTGGGAAGTGCGGGATGCCGTGGGTTGCATATATTGGATCGATTTTCGAAGGTCTTCGAAGGTCGATTTCTCCCCAACGAAGAGAAATCCGTCATCAAGTGGTGATGATACCTGTTCGGAAAGCTCTCGACGAGACAGTTCCAACGCCGACATTATGTTGGCACCATCACTGCTGTTTTTCTTTCTGAGGTAATACACGATTTTGAGCGTTTGAAGAATTGTTTAGCAGGGTGTCACACACACACACACATCTCTCTCTCTCTCTCTCTCTCCCTCCCTCTCTCTGTGTGGGTTTGGTTTTCAGTACCGCCAAGAGGAGGACGTGCTGACGCTGTGCCTGCCCGTACGATGGCGTTTTAGCAAGCCCTCCTCCGACCCCACTGCTTCAAAATCAGAACGACTGCTCTCGTTGGGTTGGTTGTATATCGGCGATTTGGAAACCCAAACGAATCAATACCTCACCGCCGCTGCTGTGACCCCGCTGCGTCTCCTCCCCCCCCCCCCCCTGACCCTTGCAGATGGGGGCCGGCGCGGGCGATCCTAACAACGACGCCGGTGGTGGTGTTGGCGACGAAGCCGCCGCCGCCGTCGCCGTCGCTAACGCGGGCAACGCCTTTAGGAGGGGACGCGATGGATTCATCCCCGGGATGGGTCCTAGGCTTGGCGGTGAGAGAGATGGATGTGGTGCTTTGATGCGCACGCGCAAACATTGGGAGGGGGAGGGGCACTCATAGTCGTGCATGCCTTAGTCGTAAGACCGTTGACCTCGCATCCCTACAAAGCCGGAACGGAGCACGCCGGGTTCTCACCGGACCAGGCTCTCATAGCACCAAGCGCGAAGCGCTTTTTGAGGTATCCGGCGAGTCGCACGGAGGGTGCGCTGCATCCTGCTAAGGGTGTTCGGCATTTTGTGCTTACTTCCTCGTATCCGGATGACGGCTGCGAATGACTTAATTTAGGTATTGGTGCTTTCACTTCCAGAGACAGATATGAGCAGTTTGTAACTACCTCGAGGAGGGTGTTTGACCAATTTAACACAGCGTGGTGCGATCATTCCCGTTGCGCGGAGCGAGGGTGCTCGACCCCGCACAACATTATCTACTCGATGACCATCACCATCATGGCTAAATACGCATGGGGGGCAGGAGGGCGAGTAGAAGCAACATGTCGATCGTTCAATGCGATCCTGGGGTACGAAAGGAGATGCCATCGGCATCACAGTACGATGGGAGCAAGAGACGCCGACGAAACAATAAAGAAATGACGAAACTGGGCAGCGCGTTTCTTTGTAAGGGGTCGTTGCTTGTTGCCTTTATACGGGGCGTGTTGTTTTAGTGTGCTGCCTACAGAGGACAAAACACAGTTGTCCGTTTGCCAGCTCCCCCCACCCCGGCTCTGTTCTGTCCGTCGGTCATTCAAGACCGCCATAAATCTCTTTTTTCCCGGTGGGCGGTTTTGGGAAGCCCGATATCGCGACCTCAGAAAAGGGAAAGTGATGAGGGTTTCCGCTACCCAACGATGCATGTTTTGAAACGTTCGCTGGCGACAAGGCCGTCCCCAACCCTCACGCCCGTTTCCGACGCAGCACCACATGCAGCCGCCAGCTAGTGGGTATTCCCCCTGGTCTATCCTTGTAAAACGCAAACGTAGCCTGGGCCGGCGAAAACCCGGAAGGAATATTTTCTCCGTCCAGCAGGTCTATATGGCCTACCGACTACGGCCTGCGTTTTCGTGACTATACCCCATTCCCATACGGTTGAATGAGAATGTTTCGCTCTCTCTCCTCTGCTAGGTGGAGGGCCAGGAGGGGGAGGGAGGCTGTGGATGCGTGGCGGTGGCCCTGCAGCCGAGGCAAGGGCGGCCGGTGGCGGCGGTGGCGGGATGCTAGAGAGGGACGGGCAGATGGGCCTGGATCTCAAGGTGAGACTACCCTCAGGACTTGGGCTGGGTCTACTGCTGGGCGTTGCGTAGACGGTGCCTTGCGACAGCCGCCCGTCACGGCAAGCGGTTCGCGGTTTGGATTTACTGCCACAAGATTGCGGCTGAGCTAGTGCCGGTTGCAGCTCGAGTTATCTGTACAGGGGACCCTTCGTCTTGCGAAAGGAGATGTCGCGGGTTCAGACGCCGCCGACAAGTACGAGGAAATACCACCGCGCCTGGTTTGGTATGTCCCGGGGGTGGGGGTAAGGTCGGCTTCGGGCTTGAGGGTGGCGTTTTTGGCACTGCCACCGCCGCCGCCGCTGTTGCTGTTGCTGTTGCTGTTGCTGTTGCTGTTGCTGTTGTCATTGTTGTTGGTGTTGTTGATGCTGTTGTTGATCGTGTTGATCGTGGTGATGATGGCGATGATGAAAGTAGACCTCCAGCACTACAACAATTCCGCCGCTTTTGGTCCAAATGGTAGCTATTTTCCCAAACTTTGTTGTTATTCCCCAATTGCTTTTGGCAACGGGACAAAAAAAATCTTATCGAAGACCGTCAGTTGATGACAAGACGCCTGCCGCACGCTTTCATCTTTGGCCACAGGTGCTTACGATGGGCCTCCTTGAGTTGCTCGTGCTACCCCTCTGGGTGGGTGTCGCCGCCGACCTGTTCTCGCTGCCGCTCCTGGCGTCGACACTGGAGGCACGGGCAGCTTGGGCTCTGGCCAACCCTTTCTCCTCCCTCGCTCTTCACTGGTGAGAGACAAGTCTCGATGACGTCGGTCCGATGCTTCGATCGTTTTTTTCTTGACTTAACATAACAGGTCCATCTCTACCCGCGGAGTCCAGGGTAACTCAGCAGTGAACCCATAGCGTCAGCGGAAGCACCACACCTGGTTGCCCTGGCGGCATGTAGCGATTTGTCCCCTGTGGGTAGAAGGCTCTACAAGGCAGTTTGGTGGCCATCTTGTGCGTCTTGTTGTGTCGTTTGTTTGTGTGTTTGAGGATTCCACCGGGCGAACCGGCTGAGCGATGGAAGGACAGCAGCCCATGTTTGTGCGTATCTGCTTCTGTAGATTAGACTCCATCGACCGCGCAAAAATAGCGTTCCATTGGACGAACGTCAGCCGTTGTGTCCTTCCCTGTTTCGCTGGTGATGGCGACACGTTTTGGAGCATCTTTTCTTGGCGATTACCGTTGTTGTTGTAGCATGCTGTAGGTAGCATTTGTTTTTTTGTGCCTGTGGACACTGTTTCGTTCTCAACTGCTCTTTCGTCTAGTCGCCCCGTGTTGCTCATCGACCGCGTTCTACGATTGAGCGTTTCCGACGTCCGCTGTAAGACCTGGAACTCGTTCAAGATGTAGAATGCCTGTATACCCCCCCCGGCTTTGTAGGGATGCGAGGTCAATGGTCAAACGACTACGGCATGCACGACTATGAGTACACCCCCCCCCCCCCCCCCCGGGTTTGGCCAAGGCCTTTCTGAAATCCGGCAACCGGGTACCCTTTTTTTTTTTTTCCCCTGTTTTTTTTTTTT